TCACAATCCCTTCTTCTCCATTCTCCTCTTGGAATCTTGTGCATGCATGCACATACACCCAGCATGAGTGTAAGCCACTGGGTCTGGGACTTGAACCATGGCCTACTACATGGGAGTCCAGCAACATAACCATTATGCTATCTGCTGGTTCCGAACCCCTCTCTTTTAATCGTGCAAATCATGTAACTAATTGGCATCTTGAAGTTGTATACTTGTATACCTGTAAACAGACATTAATTTTATAAATGATTGTAAAAATACTAGAAGTTAAAAAAAATTAGTGAAAAATATTATGGTAGTTTGAAAAGGATAACTACTGTACATACTTCAAGAATTACTCTCAAATATGCTATACTTAAACAAGTCAAACATACCTCTTCTCTCTGTCTTCCTGTTATATATAATATATATTTAAAATGATGCTTATAAATACTTAAAGTTAAAAGTTTTTATATTTTATATAAGTCCATAAAAATATATAAATTGTATAATATTTGATAATATATAATACATATATGTTATTTAGAATTGCTGTCTTTAAACTTTTTAAAAATGTTAACAACTTACTACAGAAATACACTGTTTAATCATACACTTAAAAAAAAGAATTATTTATTTAATTCCATTTGTTATTATTCTTGTTTAATTTGAGCAGAGAGAGAGAGAGAGAAAGGGAAAGTGAGAGAGCAAGCCACCAGATCTGGGACTTGAACCATGGTTGGCTATATGGGAGTTCAGCTCCTTTAACCACCATGTCACCTGCCCTCCCCCAGTAACATACTTTGTAATAGATTATGCTAGTATTATATTTTAGTTATATATTCTTAGAACAGAATTTTATGGTTAATAGCTTAAAAAATAGAACTTTATAATAGGACTTTGTATTTACGTAGATTTTTAAGAAATATGCTTTTATATAGATGACATTCCGTTTCTGTATTTCTAACATCACAGAAAATAATCAAATTAATATGACTTTCTGTTTGTATAAATTTTAAAAACCTGTTTTTTATATATTTTAAATTCTATTTCTGTATTTGTCACATCATAAAACATGGTCGAATTAATAGAGGAGAGTTTTCTTCTAGATTTTGAATGAGAGCATTATTTCCATAGCTAGAATTTAAAATTGATCTTGGTAAGCTTTTAACTGGGTTGGTTAAGAGCTCAGAGTCTAAAGCCTCCATACAATAATATTTTTTTCACCATCCTGATTTTTTTAATTACTGTATTTAATTTATTCTGTGTTTTGATTTTCAGTATTTTCAAATTCTTGGTACTAACAAATGCAATTTAAATAAATTCTGAAAGATGCAGTTTAGTATAATTTATAGGATGTAAATGGTACGCATTCTATCTATTGGATTGAATGAGCAAAATACTATACATTACTTTAAAAGTAGGTACAAGCAGGTGGTCTGATGGTTATGTTGATGGACTCCCACATAGCTGGCATGATTTCAGTCCCAGACTCGGTGGTTTGAAACTCATGCCAGGCTCATGTGCATGCCCAAAATTTCAAGAGGAGAGCAGAAGAAGAGAAGGGAATGCAGTGTGGCCACACACCGTTGGGGGTGATTTCTTGCTTTTTGTCTTTCTGTCTCTCTGGGAAGCGCACATGCCCTATAGTAAAAATCTCTTAAAAAAAAAAAAAAAAGAATCAGAATATATAAATGTCAGTCAAAACCAGCTACATGGCAATACTAATACTTTGAGTAATGTACCTTTATGTAAGTTATAATGAGCTCTGATAACAGTTCCTCTGAACAACTTTGATCTTTTTTTGTAAGAAATTGTCTCTTTTCTGCTACACTTTGAGCATTTGCTAAGCTAATCTCATTTATTCTTTTTAATAGGATTATACTGACAAATTGGAATTTCTATAGATAATGAGTTGTAGAATTTGAGACTTTGAGGGAACCGGAGAGATCATGTTGTTCAACAATATATATCTATATTTAAGGAAAGCATTTGACAATGTACGTTGATTTATATGTATATTTTTAATGAACAATATGGGTACATAGATGGGTACATAGTAGATAATGTTAATAGATAGGGGGTAGTTGAGTAGATACAAATAAATTTTGTTAGTGACTTTTTGCCACCTTGTAGGAGGTCCTTTGATGGGTGTGCATTGGCTCTTCTTATCATATTTATCAATTGTTTGGTAGTAGAAGACTTGAAAGGGAAGGAGTATAGTGTTGTAGTTAAACTCACTAGTTCATGTGTTGGCAACATGAATTTGCTACATGTAGCTTCATCTTACTACATCTGGCAAGTTATTGAACTTGGTTGTGAGCCTAAGCTTCCCTAGCAATTGAAATCATAGTGATTGCCTCATATGAGTGATCTGAAAATTAAATGAAATGGCCTTTATAACAGCATAATACACTTAGATATTATGAGAAGTATTCATAAATACATATTTAATTCTTAATATCACTTATTGTCATTGCTAAATTTATTTATATATGTATGATATGAAGCTCAGATATATAGAAAGTGCCAGAGACAAGATAAAGCATAGTTATTAATTTTCATTGTAAAAGATCAAGAGTTTTGTTAATTATGGATTATTGAACAGTGTTATAGATCTAATTCCATTTCCATTTTAAGTTTTTTTTTTTTTTGAAGACAAATAGAATCATTCCATTCTAAACATAGCTGTTTGGCAGATTTCTTCACTGGTCTATCCTTCTGTCAACATCTGTTCAGTATCTGCCTCAGTGCTAGGGAGTTAAATTAGCCCAACATTTTAGGAAGATTATGTAAAAGGAGTCTGAGACTCTGCCCTCATGGGTTGAAAGAATTAGATCCATTTATTAGTGAAGAAACATTACATTAAGAGTTAATAGATCTTTTCAAATATCTCAGAGTTTATGAGATGGAAGGTGAGTTAGCTTTTCCTGTTTATTATTTCTAAAGTTTAAATTAAAGTTATTAAGTAGAAGTTACAAAGTAGCAAATTTTAGCTCAAAGCTCAGAAGAATCTTGCTGTTGTGAAAATTGTTTTACAAAGCCATGTGCGTTTACTTATAAGATATGAAATGCCTCTGTTGATGCCTCTGTTGAGGTATTTAAATCAGAGGTTACAGGCATCTGTTTCACCTTCTTCCAATGTACAGAATATTAGACTTTAGGAACGAATTCTGGGTAAAGGATCTATGAGTTTTAATATAAAACTTTTTCAGTTTACATTAATGTAAAACTTTTAAAATTAGGATACTAGCAGCAATTTATAGGTATGACTGTGATTTTTTTTCTTAATAGAACTTAGAAATATCTAGAGTTGTAGATACCACAAAAATGATTATGTTAATTAAGCAATAGTTACATTCAAAATTATAATGATCAGTCACCACTAGATGTTATTTAATGTATCAATAAAGAAGCATATATATACACATTACTATATCTCAAACTTTGTAAAAATATATTGACAATGCATTTTAATGTAGCTTTTTTATAATTCTCCTCTTTTTATTGCCAGGGGATGTGTACTCTCACTAGATAGAGACAGAGAGAAAAAGAAAGCATCCCTCAATTGTTCATGGTCAAGCTACAATCCTTTTCCTCCATTTCTTCAGGACTTTGGGCACATGCACACACATGTGCCTGTATATTTTCTCAAGATCCCGGGGCAAGGATTCAAACTGCAGTAAGCCATAGGGGATCAGGTCCCCTTAACCTACAGAGCCACTGAACTAGCCCCCTATATTTTACCTATTCAAAAACATCCTGAGAAGGGGTCATAAACTTCATTGCAAAAATAGTTTACGACACCAGAAATAAGCTGTGATCCAATACTTTTAGAATGATATTGATAAATATCTTTGTAGTTTAAGATTTGAGAGGCCCATATAAAGAGTTGGTTCTGCTGTATATCTAGGTACCATAGACTAGTTCACCATCTTTTCTCTGCTCCTAACAACTAATGGTAATATATTACATAGTATTATCAGTATAAGTGGTTTAATACAAGAGACCTGACCATGCCTGAGTGTGTGCGTGTGTACATGTGTTAAATGTAGTGTTTGAAGTATGGGAGATATTATCCAGATTATGTGTGTGTGTGTGTGTGTGTGTGTGTGTGTGTATGCACATGTTCATGTGTGTATTTGAAAAACACTGAAATAGAATTTTAAGCTGTGTTTTAGATCTTCACTGAACACAAAGAGTGCATTCTTTGTCATTATTTTTGACCTATGAATATTTTCGACTGACTTCTAAAACTGATGAGTAGGGACATTTATTGAGAAAGCTATTCATATGACTTTAATAATATGCTTATTGTTATTTAGTTTTCTGAAGTGCCTTTATGTTTTGTTTGTTTTAAAGAATCCTGATACAGTCCATCCTAAAGAAGCAACTCCATCATCTACTTTCACTGGTATTCGACCTGCACGAGTTGTGTCTTCTACTTCTGAAGAGGAAGAAGCATTTACTGAGAAATTTCTTAAAATTAATTGTAAATATATTACCAGCGGCAAGGTAATGAGTGATATTTTAGAGAATACTTTGAATAGTTCTTAATTTATTACTCAAATAAGACAGTCTGGTACTTAAATTTTAAGTCATGTACTGACATCAGCAAATGCTTGAATATTTTTAAATGGTATTAGTGATATTATTAGTTTGCATTAGCATAGACCTTGCTCATAACTGTTGCCGTTGTTAAAGATAATAGAATATAAATAAATTCACTACAGTAGGCACAGCTAATTTGCTGTTGGTAAAATACTACAAAGAGAAAAGACCACTACGGCTACTTTTTGAGGGCTAACTTTCACACACTTAGTATACCACACAAATAGAAAAATATTTAAGTTTTAATTAATATATCAATTCAAAATAATAATGTTAAATAGGAAATCCTATTACTGCTTCACAGGAAAAACAATTCAGAAAAGATTAATAAGTTCAAGGTTTTCTGTCATGGCTAAAATTGAAACCTTCTTTGAATCTGCTTTATCTGCTACACTTTGCTGCTTTTAAAGGAAAACATTCCTAGAACATGGTGTCTTCAAGAAGAAATGTGGTGTCTTCATGGAAAAGATATATTATGAGTAAACTATTCATAGATTTTTTAAAATTTTTGCACTGAAATGAACTTGTTCTTAAATTCATTTTTTTCTAAAGACTTTTTGACTTCTACTTATGTGGTACAGTAACTCAGAGTTAGAAAATAAATTCTAGATTTTGCTTAGAAAGACTGTAATGCTGACTTTAGAAGTCACATATAACAACTTACTTTATAATCAATTTATAAATTAGGTATTTGAAATAACAAGCATTTAGTTTTCTTCCCTAATTGATTTATAGCTACATCTTAAAGTTCTATTCGGTTTTCATTTTCATTCAGTTAAAAATATTTTCTCTTGGGACCAGCAGTTAGCATAATGGCTATGTCGCTGAACTCCCATGTAGTCGACCATGGTTCAGTTCCTGGACCCAGTGGCTTAAACTCACACTGGGCGTGTGTGTGTGTGTGCCCAAGATTCTGAGAGGAGAATGGAGAAGAAGGGATTGTGGTGTGGCCATCCCCCCTGAGGGGTGATTTCTCACTTTCTATCTCTCTGTCTCTCTCTGTCTTTCTGGTGAGCGCACATGCCCTATAGCAAAAACCTCTCAAAAAAAAAAAAATTCTCTTGATTTCTTGTTTGATCCTTGGAATATTTACACATTTGAGTTTCTAAATACTTGGAAATTTTCTATATATCTTTCTGTTACTAATTTCTGATTTAATTTCACATAGTTAAGGGAACATACTATTTTATTTAAAGGTTTCATTTACTGAGGTCTGTTTTATGGTCAGAATACAATTTATCTTGTTAAATGGTACATATATACTTGAAAATAATGTGTATTCTCATATTGCTGGGTAGGGGCTGGGTAGAATATTCTAAAAATGTCAGGTAAGTTGGATAACAGTGTTATTCTTGTGTATCCTTGCTAATTTTCTGTTTTATCATTTATTTATAGAATAATATTGAAATATCTCACTATAATTATGGATTTGTCTGGTTTCTCCTTTCAATTCTATCATTTTTTGTCTTATACTTTGAGACTCTACTATTGAAACTCTAAGTGTAAAAATGTTTAGAATTCTTGATAAATGGATTTATTTGTAATTATGAAAAACTCTATTTTTGGTAAAACTCTTTGCTGTGCAATCAACATTGATAGATATCAATCATGCCATTTTAGCTTCCTTTTGATAAGTATTAAAAAATAGTTGTTCTGGGTCAGCTCCATGGTCTGGTGGTTTAGAAGCTAAATCCCACATGTTCATGTACCAGACCCTGTGACTTGTAAAACATGTGTCCTCACCAGAGAGAGAATGATGTAGAAAGTCCCTCCCCTAGTGGAGTATGGTCATGGCACTATCCCTTTTCCTCCCTTTCTACATCCTTTTGGGATTCTGGACCTGTAGAATATGTCCCTGCCATATTTTCCAAGATACCTGGGTTAGGAATTGAACTGCTCTTGGCCATGTGGACCCAGCTTCCCTAACCACCAGGTAGCTATTAAAAGTAATTTTAAACATAAGCAAAAAGTCTGTATTTACCATTTTGTATGTTCTTCATTGCTTTGTGTAGACCCAAATTTCTTCTTTATTTTAAGAATTATTTCTTTTATTTATTAATATTATTCTTCACATGGGTTTGCCAGAGATAGAGAGGGATAGAGGAAGAGTGAGAAAGCAAACTACCAGGTCTGGGACGCAGTCAGCCATGTGGGAATTCCAGTGCCTTAACTACCACACCACTTGCTGACCCTCTTAAACTTCTTATAGAAGTCAGTTGATAATAAATTAATCTTTTTTTTTTGTGTGTGTGTGTGTGTGTGTGTGTGGTTGTATGCATAAAGTGGTCTTTATTTTTTCTTAAAGTTGACTCATATTTTTGTATTTTATCAAAATTAATGTGTATATTACAGCTTATTTATTTTAGTTTATTTCCTCCTTGAAACAGAGAGACAAACAGATAGACACATGCAACAGGATCTTCATACCACACTCATATCCAGTCCCAGATGACCTGGATCATAGTTGCATGTGTGCACCTGGCATGCTCAGAGAGGGCTCAGAATATTCCAAGTCCTTTCTCACGTGGGTCCAATTGCATTACCACTGTACCACACTTGGCCTTAAATGCTTTTATAAAAAGCGATTTTTTTTTTTTAATTTTGTACCATATATCTTTAAAAGTTTCTTTTTTTTTTAATTAATAGACCCTATTTTTTGGAGCAGTTTTAGGTTAATGGAAAGTAGAGTTCCCAAGTATTCTCTCACACCTCTCCCCAGTTTCTCCTATTACTAATATCTTGCATATGTGTGTTATATTTGTTATGATTGATAAACTCTCAGGTTGTTGGAAAAATCATGATATGTTTTTCTATGCAAAAATGCATTATGACTTTTCTGACAACCAGTAGTATTCAGACAATAAATAAAGTCCACAATTTGCATTAAGATTCATTCTTGTGTTGTAATTTTATGGACTTCGACAAATGTATAATGACATGTATCTATTCGGTCGTTGAGAAAGTCATGACACGTTTTTGCACAGAAAAACAGAAATATGCGTCATGGCTTTTCTGGCAACCTAATACAACAATGTTATATAGCATAGTTTTATTGCCCTAAAAATCTCCTGTGTATATCTATTCTTTTCCCTCCCTCCCTTTCTCCTCCAAATGCCTGGTAATTATATTTTTATTGTCTCTAAGGTTTTACCTGTTTCAGGGTGTCATGTAATTGGAATCGTTTAATATAATTGTATGTTTATTTTTTTGAGAGGTTTTTGCTATAGGGTGCATGCACTCGCCAAAAAGACAGAGAGACGGAAAGCAAGAAATCACCCCCCAGCGGGAATGGCCATGCTGCAATTCCTTTTCCTCCATTCTCCTCTTAGGATCTTGGTCATGCATGCACACGCACCCGATGGGAGTTTAAGCCACCAGGTCCAGGACTCAAACCGCAGTCAACTACATGGGAGTCCAGCGACATAGTTGTTACACTAACTGCTGGCCCCCTAGAGAGACTTTTGCTAGAGGGCATGTGTGCTCACCAGAGACACAAGAGAAAGAGGGGGGATAGACACACTGCAATCCCTTCTCCATTCTCCTCTCAAGATTTAGGGCACGAAAGCACACATGCTGGCATGATTTTCAAGCTGCCGGGTCTGGGACTCGAACCTGAGTTGACTGTGGGAGTGCAGCGATGTAACCATTACACCATCCGCTGGTCTCACAAACTATTTCTGACTCTCTGGATCAAGGAATTGTTTCCTCTTATCTTTTTGAAGCTTGTTTTTTTCCTTAAGTCCTTCAATGGTTCTGTACACATAGGTGGCAATCAGTAGTCAGTTGCAAGTTTGAATGTGATTTATAAAACTTTGTTACTTGAATAGTATTCGTCACTCTTTTCCTTTCTCTTTGGCTTGGAAACTCTCCACACAATATGCTGGGGTAGTCATAAAGTAATTTTATTTCTTTCTCCATATTTAGGTATCATTGCCTAGCATGTCAGTATCTGTAAACTTTTCATTTATTTTATAGGTGTTTATAGGCATGTGTTTTTAGGCAATATTAATTCTTGGCTAGATGCACAAGTTCCTCTGCATGTATCTGAATAAAAACTTTAATTAAGAATCAAAGCAGAGAAAAGTTATTGGCAGAATTAGGAATGCCCACAGCCTTATATTCTTGGAGCATAATTTCTTGTTGGAGGCTGGCTATGCTTATTCTAGATGGTACAAGAGAGTAAGCAGGAAATGAGACTTTCTCAAACAAGTTTTGTTTCTTCTTTCATTTTTCTACAAGATGATTATAGTAAAGGTTATTTACATAAAAAATATGAGAACATATCAACAGTAATTTTTTTTTTTAAGAGAGAGATTTTTGCTGTGGGGGGAAGCATGCACTCACTGGAGAGACAGACAGAAAGTCAGAAATCACTCCCCAGGGCAGATGACCATGCTACAATCCCTTCTCCTCCATTCTCCTCTCTAGATTTTGGGCACACACCACACCCATGCCCAGCATAAGTTTTACTCTGTCAGGTCCAGGATTTGAACCAGTGACATTACTCCAGCAACATAACCATTATGCTGTAATGGGAGTCCAATGACATAACCATTATGCCATCTGCTGGTCCCAACAGCAGTAATTTTAATAGTTAAATTATTGTGGTCTTAAAACAGAAAGAAATCAGTACATGTTTTTCCCTCTGCTAGGATATGTTCCCACTTCATGGTCTTTTATCTTTTATTATTTACAGAAATACTTTACTGTAAGTGGCGACACTTTTTTTGCAGATAGATTTTCTTTTCTATTAGAAATAATTTCTCCTTAGATGATTAGTCAGGTAATTGCATATAAGGAAGTAGAAGTCGTTAGTACTAAATAATCTGTACCAGGGCTAGCAGGTGGTACAATAGTTAAGGCACTGGACTCTCACATGGATGACCTTGGTTCAAGTCCAGACTCAGTGGTTTGAAAATTACACCAGGTGTGTTTGTGTGCATGCCCAAAATTCTGAGAAAAGAAAGGAGGAGGTGAAATTGCTGTGTTGTCATCCCTCCTGTGGAGACATTTTTCAGTTTCCCCCTCTCTGTCTGTCTCTATCTTTCTCTGGCAAGTATATGCACCCTATGGAAAAACCTACAAAAAAAAAAAAAAGGAGAAGAAGAATCTGTGTTTGAAGTTTTTAAGGTCACACTGATTAAGAAAATACTTTAATCGGAAACCTCTTGCTCACAATAGTCTTACTATAATGTTGATAACATGTCTAGAGTTATGAAACAATATTGAGAAACAATGAAATAGGAATCCTTTAGTGTGAGTCAATGATTTTAGATTTAGTTTTAGTCAAAAGAATTGAAAAATGATTTTCTCAAGAGATTTTTATGAATTTTATGTTGAAATGTTTCTCATGGTCATCTAACAGGTTATCACAAAAAGCCCCAGTGTATGGAAACCTTGATTGTGTAGCAGAGGGAAAGAAGCATGAAGAATACACATATGCATCCTTTCAATAATAGCACATAGGGGTGGATTCCTAGAAAGTAACAGGAGCAGATTGGTCATTCTAGTGAGTAGGGCCTTTCAAACCTTCAATAATCCAGGAAGCAGTATAGTTTTGAAAGCCTTTTCAAATGACTTACAGTTAACTACTACGATTATAGTATTAATGTGACAGGAAAGTAAAGTAATCTTCATTACACTGAGCCTTTTCTGTCTTACTTAGCTAAAAGTCATTGTCTTTATGAAAATCCTCTAAAGTAAAAAATAAAATATAAATACGCTGATAAACCAAATAGTAATAGTTAAAGCACAGGTGAAATTTATAAAATTAAGGGTGACATAGAGTTTGTTTTCCTTATTTAGCTGATTGCTTGGTTTAATTTCTTTAGTAATTTAAGTGTTTTTTTGTTTGTTTTATTTTTGGTTTTGTTGTTTTGTTTTGTTTTTGCGGGGAGAGGTTTTTGCTATAGGGTGCGTGCGTGTGCCAGAAAGACAGAGAGACAAGTGAGAAATCATCCCCCTGTGGGGATGGCCATACCACAATTCCCTCTCCCCATTCTCCTCTCGGGATCTTGGGCATGCTCACACAAGCACCCGGCATGAGTTTAAGCCACTGGGTCCGGGATTTGAACCTTGGTCATCTACATGAGAGTCCAGCGACAAAGCCATTACACCAACTGCTGGTTCTAGTAATTTAAGTTTGCAGAAGGTGAAAGAGAGAAGGTTTATGAAAGATGGGAGATTTTTAACATTTTTTATAATGTATATACTTTCGATTATCTATTTCTTAGACTATTCCTGGCAATATAAATGTTCTCTGGAGCGTACTTTATCATCTGTCATTGAATTGAATTGACATATGCTCTAGGAATGCAAATTAATGTATATAAATCTAATTAAAACATTAATGGAAAGAAAAATGGACTATGGTTTATTTCTCCTTATTTATGTAATCCATGGTCTGAACTAAAGGAGGTACTATTCAGAGTTTCAGATTGATTCTCTTTGCCTCTTCAAAATGCATACACACATACATTCTTCTCTATGATAAGTATCTTTTATTATTTTTGCCAGAGTGTGGGGGGAGAGAGAGACAGAGAAACAAAGTATTCCCAGCAGGACATGGCCATGCCGCAATCTCTTCTCTATTTCTCCATCCTTTAGGATTTGGGTCATGCTTGCACATGTGCCTGGTATGCTTTTCAAGCCACTGGGGCCAGGATTCAAAACACATGATTGGCCACATGGGATCCAGCTCTCTTACCTACTAGATATCTGGGTCGGCCCTACGTGATCACTTTTAAAGACTTGTTTACCAAAATTCAAGTTTTGGCTTCTTAAAGTTAAGCTACTATGTGTTTTATTCTGTTCTTGTTTTGTAGAATGGAAGTATCTGAGAAAAAGTGAGGTATAAAGAACAGAATTTATTTGACTTACGATTCTAGTGCAGGAAAGTCCAGAAACATGGGAAAAGTCCAGTCCAACATGTGGCTGACTTTTTATCCTTTATTGTAACCTGCCTGACAGAAGCAGGGAGGAAGGTAGGCATATGAAGAAAGAGAGGAAAAAAGATCTTGTAGAAACTAACCCATTCCCTTGAGAGGAAGAACTTGGCATTAGTCTATTAATGAGAGCAGTGCACTCATGATCCACACACCACTCTCTAGGCCCTGCCTCTTAAAGGTCTCACCACTGTCAACACCATTATATTGGGAACCAAGTTTCCAGCACATGAACTAATGTAGGCAGCAAACCATTTTCAAACCATAATTCTAGGTAAATTTGCAGAGATTAATATGGAAGGGGAGGGTATGATACTGATCAAGCAGAGTTTGTGTTTTTCTTTTTCATTTCAGAAAATAAGACAACTTCGAAGTAACTATTTGGTTTATTCTTAGAGTTCCGTGCTTCCTGTTCATTTTTACACTCAGAGTATAGTGGGATGAGAGTTAAGAAGTAGAATTAATGAATGTTCGGCACCTTGATTTAGGGTAATGTTAGTTTGTGATTCAGATGCAGAGGGAATATGATAAAAAACATGGACTACTTGGAGTTTGAATTCTAGTTGTTTAGACTAAGTTGCCTGGCCTCTCTCAACCTTCATTCTTCAACTTTTTTTTGTTGCTAACTTCCAGAGGGCCAGTGTGCTTGCTACAGAGAAACAGAAAGAGAAAGGGAGAGAAAACGCCTTCAATGGAGTGTGGTCACACCACAGTCTCTTTCATTTCTCCATCTCGTCAGGGTTTTGGACACATAACCCACATGTGCCTTGCATGCTTTTTAAGCTTCTGGGCTAGGATTTAAACATTAATCATCCATATGGGATCCAGCTTCCTTAACCTTCAAACCACATGGCCAGCTCGAGACTTACAAAATACAGTGAGATGAGAGTTAAAAATAAGATGAACAAATGTTAGGGACTTGATTTGGGTGATGGTAGTTTGTGACTCAGATGCTGAGGAATGACAGTGAAAAAGCATGAACTGCCTGTATTTTGAATCCTGGGTATTTAGAATGAGTTAACTGGCCCCTCTCTGCCTTAGTTTTTCTACCTATAAAATGGAAATTACTATATCCACCTCATGCCTGTGACTTTGAAGATCAGGTGAACAATGTGCATGTAAAGCATGGTACATACAAAACCTTCAAAAAATTTATTTGTTCTTTGTAAACCTTAGTTTGTGTGTTTGCACAATTAAAGTGTTAGATTTTTCAGATTTGTATCATTATTTGTATAGATATATTTAAAATTTTATTTATTTTTATGGTGAAATTTAAAATAATTCCTGTGTGTTTTAGAGGTCATCTAATCTACCTAATGGTACAGATAAGCAAATAGGTCGGATGCTTTTCCAAGGTTACATACCTAGATAGCAGCAGAAACAGGTTTTGGGTTTATTTTTCACTTTTCATTTTACAAGTTTTTGCCATAGAATGTGTGTGCTCACTAGAGAGAGACAGAGAGAGGGAAAGTGAGAAATTACCCCCTGGGGAGGTGGCTTCACCTTAATCTCCTTGGGGTTTTGGGCATACACAAAGATGCACCCAATGTGATGTTCAAGCCTCTGGGTCCAAGACTTGAACCTCTGTCAGCCATGTAGGAATTCACTGGCTTAACCACCACATCACCTACTTTCTCCCAAAAACAGATGTTTTAAAAACATATTTGAAGGAACTTATATTCTTTCCCCTATGGATTCAGTTATCAACACATTATTTGCTAATTTGTCTGTACTGTATACATGAAATCGTATTTGGTACTCATATAGGAAGAAAAATGCAAACTAATGTAAAACATGGCTCATGCCTTGTAGAACTTTACAATTCTTTGTTACTGAAATTATTTCCCTGATATGAGATAACTTGATATTTTACTAATAGAAAAGTGTAATTCCTGACTTTGATTATTTTTTGGGAAATATGATATTCTTTGTATCTTACTGTGGAAAAGAGGGTAATACACTGGAAGAGCTTAGGTTTTATTAAAAATATTTTTATGAAAATGCCATAGTGGGGCCAGAAGGTGGCATGGTGATTAATGGGGCTGGACTCCCACATGGCTGACTGTGGTTCGAGTCCTGGACCTGGTGACTTGCTTTCTCACTATCCTTCTCTCTCTGTCTTTCTCTGATCAAACTAGAAAACAAAAAATGAATTTAAATAAAATAATATTTAAAAAAAGAAAAAAAATCCCATAGTTCTTGAATGTACTATATATGATATATGTAAAAATAAAAATCATATATGCTACATATATATATATATATAACATACACACATACTAGGTTAATACATTTTATATATAGGTTTGTATATCATACATATATAACATGCAGACATACTAGGTTACTGTTATATGTATGTTATATATGTATATAAAACACATTCTAGGTTATATATATCTGTATGTCAATATATATATGTATATATATGTGTGTGTGTGTATATATATGTATATGTGTACATATATATATCAGAAGAAAGAAAATCAGTAAAATCTAGGATCAGAAGAAATTTAGTAAAAACAGCCAAACACTGAAATTTTAAGATTTGAAGATTAAATGTTATTTTCTTTTTTCACCTTAGGGCACAGTCAGTGGTGTGCTGCTAGTTACACCAAACAATATAATGTTTGATCCACATAAAACTGACCCTTTGGTTCAAGAAAATGGCTGCGAGGAATATGGCATCATGTGTCCAATGGAAGAGGTGATGTCGGCTGCAATGTATAAAGACATTTTGGATAGCAAAATAAAGGAATCCTTACCCATGTAAGAGTTGTATTTATATTCCTTTTCAGTTTTATTTTATCTAGATAGTTGACCATGATATCATACTCAACAATTTTTAGGGTTTTTTTTTTTATAGCTGACTATCAATAATGAACAAAGTAGATACAGTATTACAAAAGTTATTCTTGATGAACCTGGAACAGTAAGGAATTATTTTAGGTTTATATTTGTATATTTGGTTAGAGGCTGATATTTGAAAAGTAACTAGTGATCACTGAATTCATTGTTTACTAGTCCCTTTTATTCATACAGCGTGAAGAATTCTAAATTATCTCGATGAGTAATTACTGTCATGGGTAGTTTTCAAATGTTCCTTGCTAGTGCCTGAAGAGTAGGATGTGTGATTTGAGAGAAGCTAGCAAAGCCATGATGTTGCTACAGACAGAATCGCATTATTTTTTATTTATTAATTTATATGTTTGCATTCTTCCCCAGAAAAGTATAAAATATAGGAAAGAAAACCCATTAGTTGCACAAATATAAGGAATTAACCTTGGGATATACTGATAGGAGATTTGTATGATGTAACAGAGGTGTGAGATTGCAAGTTAGGCACAGACTTTCAAAATAATATTCTCGAAGAAAGTAATGACCAGAGAAAAAAGGAGGAATGAGAAATAGTATAGCAGAAAGATAAAAGATAGATATGCCATGACTTTGTCAACAATTGAAAGCTGGCTTCACTGTAACTCATACCTGTAGATATTTATGCACTCATATTTATATCCCTGTATTAGCCTTAGCCTACAGGGATAATGTTTTTTTGTTTTAGTTATTAACCTTTGTGGGGCAAAACAACTTAGGAAGGAAAAAAGAAGTAAATTATTTTTGCTTCTGAGGGAGACTGGGTGATTTGTTATGATACCGAAGAGATCAAATAAAATCCCTTATTCAAAAAGTCTCAATTAGAACTTCCACCTAATGGACACTATTTGGTCGTTGTAAACTTATCTTTAGAGATACAGGTAATTCCTAAAGGTGTCATTATTATTTTTTTAAGTTATATTTATAGATTATCAAAGTCAGCTTCAGAAATTAAGGAATATTGGGGTGTGGGTGGAGGGATGAGACAGTGGAAAGGTTATCATATATATACATAGGTTATCATATGTATATTAATATGTATTAATATATTAATATGTATTATATATATACATATGACATATATGTATGTCAGTTGGGTGTGCCTAGTGTCACAGGTTTGTGCTGCTGTACTTTTCTGTGTTATGACACTTTGGGATTCTCTTGTGTACAGTCCATGACTATTCTACAAATATGCTCTAGGGCTCCTCCCCTTTTAGATCACTGTTTTATCATTCATTGTCACTTGGAAAGACCATGCATTTGATCCAAAAATATTAAAATTCCCTCAAAAAGAAATATTTTTAAATCCTGTTTTATGGGTTTACTCAATACAGTATTTGGTATCAGATGAAATAAATAAAGCAAATGGTCTTGCAGAATAATGTCAGTTATGACAAAAATGTGGTATGAGGTTTGATTGGTTTTCTTCTGTTTTATACTGCTTCGGAAGTTGATTTCCTAGGTATTGTGGAATTGTAATATATTGAGCAGCAGAAGCATAAACATTCATCCTTTCAGCCTATTACAACTCTTAGGGTACAGCACTTATTTAAATATATATATCATATTAAATTTATTATCTATCTGTTATCTGAGGGTCTCAGTTTCTTTAAATGTACAGATCCAATTGGTACAATTTCAGTTTCTCTAAACTTTAGCTAAGTTCTAGGAACTTTATATGCAGTTTAAGTGAATGACCAGTAGATGACACTATTGCATACTTAATGACACAAATTAGATGCTTTTGTTTTTTAAAATGAGTGAGATAAGGCAGCATAAATATGAATCAGTATTTCAACTGACTAATACTTTAAAAAGGAAGTTTTACCTATCTTGGTTATAAAAATTATGCCTGCTTGTTCCAGAGGTTTGAAAAGTATCAAAAAAGAGAACAGAAAAAGTCACCTAGCATTACCATATAGAGATAGCCAATTATTTTTGTTTACTAATTTTCAAGCTTTTTATTTTTTAAATTATTTTAATTTATTGTTATTATTTTAATTTGCTGTAGGGCTCTCATGCTCACCAGAGAGATATATGGGGGAAGGGATCGAGAAAGAAAGGGAAAGTGCAGAAGCAAGTCACTAGGTCTGGACTCAAACTGCGGTTCCCCATGTGGGAGTCCAGTGCCTTCATCATCACACCACCTGCCAGCCCCACTTTCAGGCTTTTTCTAGTTACCATATTTTTCAAGTAATGTATATGCATAAATATTAATACTTTATACCACTAAGAACTCATGGAATTTCCGTTTGTTAAAAGCTACTTGTCTTCATCATTTTAAATGACTGACTTAAATTTTTTAGTATAGATGTTTACTACCCCTTTTCAGAACTTAAAAGCTATAGCTTTTTAATATTGGTACATATGTATAACAAATGCCATTAACATAGAAAACTAGACCCAATTTTGATCCATTCAGTTATCTAATAATCTAAATGCTTTACCTAGAAAAGTTCTCTTAGAACCATTATTAAATGCGTCTGAAAATTTTCTTGAAGTACTTTTGCTTCAGTTCAAAGTTATTTTGGTTGATTTTAAGCCTTACATTTCAGCCATATATTTTAGTTTAATCTTTCTTAGAATATGAAGTATTGTGTGCAAGTTGGTATATACGTATTTTTAATAAATCAGTATTTTTACTTAAGAGATTTAAAATTTTAATTAAAAATTTATGTTTATTTTTCATATTTTATTAATTACTAAATTTTAGAATTATAGCTTTCCCCAGAATTTATGTAATTAATTATTTTCAAACATTACTTGCAAGGAAATCTTACAAGTTTCCCAAATGTTAAGCAATTGATACAGTTAAGCTTAACTTAATTACTTGGTCCTTATAACTAAACTAATAATAGATTTTATAGTCTGTTGAGATGTATGCTACATACTTTTCAAAAAGCATTTAGTTATATTATTCCAATGTTCAGTTTATGAAAAATAAAACCATACAACTTAAAAAGTCTAATAATTTTTTTATTTTGTTTAATCACAGAGAACTAGATCAGTTATCGGGAAGGGACTTCTGCCATTCAAAAAAAGTGACAAGAAGTAACACTGATGAAATAGACTCGAGAATCCGCGATGCAGGTAATGATAGTGCCAGCACTGCTCCTCGGAGTACTGAGGGGTCTCTTTCTGAAGATGTGTTCACGGAATCAGAACTCTCTCCTATACGAGAAGAGCTTGTCTCTTCAGACGAGCTACGACAAGATAAATCTTCTGGTGCGTCATCAGAATCTGTGCAAACTGTCAATCAGACTGAACCAGAATGTTTGATAGTGAAATCAGAGCCGACCAGTACTTCTGGCCACTTAAAATCTGATACTGTACATTCTACAAATGAAGCTGGGACGTTATCTCATAAAGCTGATTTAAATAATCTTGAAATGGCCACTAAGGGAGAAGATCAGGTTACAGGTAATGTTCAAGAAATAACAGCACCTAAAGAGCAAAGCACAAGTATAAAAGGTAATGCAGACCAGGATATTTTTCTTCATGAGAATTTACTACACCAAGAGGGTGAAAAAGAAAATATACCTTGTGGGGAAGCAACAGAACTTAAACAAAAGCAAAGTGATAACAAAGGAAAACAAGGGAAGGAACAAAATCGGGACTCAGAGACTGAGGTAGAAGAACTACGCAAACTCTGGAAAACCCATACTATGCAACAAACTAAACAACAAAGGGAAAATATTCAACAAGTATCACAGAAAGAAATTAAGCATAAAATTGCATCTGCTGATGGACATGTAGAAGGTAAGAACAAGTATACAGTTCATCTTTGTGCATGTTGTCTCCCTCTTTTTTCACTGATGCACAAGCTGTTCTATCTTAGGTCAGTCTGAAGGATCATCAAGTGTCCATGACTCATGTTATTCTGAGAACAAGTTTGCATAATCTCCAGTGTCTGCTGTCCTTTCGTATCTCACAGGTGGATTGTGCACATAACGAGCATCTTTTTACTGTATCTAAATATTCTTAACTCACTGCATTCTATCTTTAAACAATGTATTTTTTGAAAGTTAAAGAAGCTGTGCAATACCTTTGATTACTCCATTTTTTATTTTAGCTAGTAATATGTTGCCTCATAAAATATTTTTTAAATTGTATATGTGGTATTTTAATTGTGACTTATAATTGCCAAAATTGGAGGGGGGGTTTAGGTTTTTGACGTAGGGTATATGCACTTGCCGGAGAGATACAGATAGAGAGAAAGTGTGAACCCCCCCCCCTTTGGGGGGGGTGGATGCTATACCACAATCCTTTCTTCTCCATTCTAGGGATTTTGGATGTGCACACACACGTCCGGCATGAGTTTTAAGCTGCCAGGTCCAATACTCAAACCATGGTTGGCCATGTGGGAGTCCAGCACCTTAAGTACCATGCCATCTGCTGGCCCCAATAATTGCCAAGGATTAATCCTATCTTTATTTTAAAGTGTATACATAAAATTCCACTTCTAGAATTCTTCCAAGTATCCAAAAGTTCCAACATCATCTGGTTAAACATTTTCCTTTATAAAACTGCACTCAGAATAAGTAAAAACATCATTTCTCATTTAGTTCTGTCACTTGGTACTATCAAGCTCTGAAAATTTTTGTAATAGGCTATTTGTAATAAATTGTACCTCTTAACACATTATGCATTAAATGAGTATAGCTTCGGTAACTTAGCTAAAGCTTTTATATTCTTTTAGAATCTCATTCCTACATAAATCTAATTTACACATGAACTTTTTTTTCATTATCAAATTTAAAATTTGTTACCGTACTGAATAATACATAAAATAGTATTTATCATTTTAACTGGTTTCTAAATTGTGGTAAAATATGCATAACATCAAATTTACCATTTTAGCCATTTCAAAGTCTACAATTCAATGGTGTTAAGTACATTCACATTGCTCTACAGCCATCTACACCGCCCATCTCCAGAAGTTTCTCATCTTTTTAAAGTGGCAGTTGATATCCATTAAACAGCATCTCCATTTTGCCTTCCCCATACTCCTTGGCAACAATCATTCTACTTTTTGTCTCTGAATTTAATTACTCTAGGTGTAATGATTGTAGGTGGAGTCACCCAGTATCTGTCCTTTTGTATCTGGCTTATTTCACTTAGTATAATACCATCAAGGTTCATTGTTATCATAGCATGTACAAGAATTTCCTTCCTTTTGGGGGGGCCACCAGTTGGTGTAGTGATTAAAGCACTGGACTCGCATAAGACTGACCCCGGCTCAAGGTCCAGACTCAGTAGCTTGAAACTCATGCCAGAGCTTGTGCACGTGTGCCCAGAATCCTAGAAGCAGAATGGAGGAGAAAGGATTATGGCACAGATATTACCCCAGGGGTGATTGATCACTTTCCCTCTCACTGTCTTTCTCTGTCTCACTTTAGCTAGTGCACACACCCTATGGCAAAAATCTTTAAAAAAAAGTTCCTTCCTTTTGAAGCTTAAATAATATTTCATTGTATGTATATACCATATTTTTTTGATCCATTCATTCGTAGATGAACTTTTTGGTTATCTCTGCCTTTTGCTATTTTGAATAATACTGCTATGAACATTGGTATGCAAATACCTGTTTTCATCCCTTCTTTTCTTTTGGGGGAGTATATATAGGGAAGCAGAATTGCTAGATCAAATGGAACCTCTTATGTTTAACTTTTTGTTGAACCACCGTACTATTTTCTGTAGTGTTTGCACCATTTTACATTCCCATCAGCAATGCACAGGAATTTAGTTCAGTGTTTAAAGTACTAAATTTTCTTTTTGTCATTCGGTTGTGCTATATCATAAGTCCCTTAAGATTATATTTAGTAGATGTTAGAGAATTCATTTACTTGAAGCAATTTAATATAAATGATTGAATATTTCTTCTTCTGTAATGTTTTTTCATTAATCAGAACTAGCAATTGTTCATTAAAGAACATACAAGCAATAAAAGAAATTTCCAGAAGATTTCTAAAAATTCCTTGAAATACATCACCCAGAGAGATCACTGTTAACATGTGGTTTATTTGTTTTTATTATAAATTTTTAGGATTTGTGTAGCACACACACGTGCATACACACACACAAATACACGTTATTTTTAAAATATATTTTATTTCAATTTTTTTATACATTAAATCACTTTATATCACTTAGGTTGAAAAGTGAATTTACCAACATGAATACATTTCACACCAGTCCAGTTGGAGGTATTATCCACATTATCATCAACAGATAATAATCTATTTCTGTATCTCATAAATGTCTAGCCTATTTTTCTCCTTTATGTCTTTTTTCACACTCTCCTCCTTCTTTTAAGTTTATTTTGTTTATTATTTGTTATTTTAATTTTCTATAGAGCATATCTGTTCACCAAAAAGAGACAGTGATTGAGAGAGGAAAAAATGAGAAGGAAAACCACCAGTCCAAGACTTGAAACATGATCGGTCATACGGGAGTCCAGCACCTTAACTACCATGCCACCTGTAGGCCCCATATATATAATTGTGATATTTGTATTTATGCAGATTTATTTTTATATTAAATTAGGATTATACTATAGTATTATGTCCTGCTTTTTTCACTTAATGTTTTATGTCATGAACATTTTCCTACATCATTATAACCTTTGAAAGCATGATACTAATGGTCCTATAGTTTATTTAACCATTTTCATATTGTTAAGACATTCAGTTGCTAATAATTCATATTGTTAAGACATTTTCCCTCTTTGAGGTAAACAGTGCTGGTGTGAATTTCTTTATTTTAATATCTTTGCATCTGATGGTTTTCTTATATTTTGAAATTTTAAAAAATGGATTCTCTTTAACCTAATAATGAGGTAGATTAATAAGTTTGTTGTGGAGGTCAGAAGGATTAACGGGGATAGAAAAGGTCCTATTATAACCAAATACTAAAATGAGAAAAATTAGTAAATATTTGTAGTTAGGCATCTCTAAATTGTTACTGTTTGGTTTCTTCATTTTTGGATTGAAAATTGGTTTTAAGTAACTTAAATTAACTTGATATTCTGTAATGGGGAAATATCCAAAGTTTCTGATCTTTTTTTTTTTTTAAATCATTCACTTTATTATTATTATTAAACTTGCTAGAGTCATCAGAGAGAGAAGGGGCGGGGGAGTGAGAAAGGAAGCTGTCAGGTCTTGGACTTAAACTGCTATTGACCATGTGGGAGTCTAGGGCCTCAACCACCACGCCACCTGCTGGCCCCTAGAACGTGACTCTTTTTAAGAGGAATATTTTTTTTAATTTAAATTTATTTGTTTACGTTCATTCACTGTACATCATTACAGCATACAAAATGAGATTTTCCATTCAGAGTACACTGTATATTGTCTAAATCAAACACATCAACATACATATTATTGTCAACAAATAATTTTCCATTTCTTATTTCCTGTATGATTTGCTTCCCTCCCCATCCTTGATTCCCTATCTCTTACCCTCTGCCATCTCCCACTCTCTTCCCACACTGATATCTATGTTTACTTTCTATACTGTTCCCCCCCACACATTTTATTGAATTACTAAAGATCTTAATTAATCTAAATATTTTCATAGCAAACACAGCTGATATATACATTTCCATGAACACAAGTCTCACTTTAGGCATCCTATAAAGTAGCACCTAGCTGGGGCTATATATCTTATTGCGGTCATCAAATAGATTTTTTTTCTGAAACTTTTTTTTTTTGTAACTTAATTTCCAAAGTTTCTGATCTTTATGACTTTATAACATGATAAAATTGTGTAATAATATAAAATTGTAGAATATAAATATGGGAGGAATGGCAAAGGTTCCCCCCCCTTCAACCAGATATAAATACTGGGTTTCAGGTGGATTTTGTATTATGCACAATATTCACAGGAAGAAAGCCATGACTGGTATCCAGATTTTTCTGACTCTAGCTAAATGCTTTTTCCTCTACATTGTGCTGCCGTAGAAAATTCATTTATCTCCAGAATCCTGAATTCAAGCATATTGTCAGACCTTCAACATTATTTATTTATATATTTAATTTATTTTCTGCTCATATACTTTTCATTGTATTAATTTTTTTTAATTTACATATAATCACTATGTATCTTTACAGTGTACAGCATTCCTTTTTCTGTCACGAATATGGTGCATATCAGTCAAGGCAAAGACATTACATTATTATCAGCAAATAACTTCTCATTTTATATCCTTTTAGCATACTTTATATGAACATCTCTTTCTGGAAGCATTAGTGATAATTTGGGCTTAATTAACTGTCCAAACAGGTGGTAGAATCTAGCATATTGTTGAGTGTTTCATTACATCTTTACAAGAATATAAAAACTTCAGAAACTTTGTTAACTTTTAAAAATTTTGCCAGCGAGTGTCTGCACTTGGTGAAGAGACCCCGAGAGGGAAAGTGAGAAGGCACTGCTTCATGGAGAATGGTTACACTGCAATTCCTTCTCCTCCATTTCTCCATCTTGGAATTTTGGACATACATGGCACATGTACCAGGCATATTTTTTGAAGTCACTGGGTTTAGGACTTAAATCTTGAAATTGGCCATGTGAGATCCAGTTGACTTAACCACCACACCACCAACTGACCTAATGAAAAAATTTTAACAACCATATTAAAGTAAGCATTTTAAAATCTACATTTAACTTAAATGTCATTCTAAATAAAGATAGAGAATGTGCAGAAAATTATGTTATGTGTTTATAATTTATTCAGTATGACTTTTACAAAAACTTGACCAAGGAAGTTTCTGAAGCTTTTTCATTTTTTTCTACTATCCCTAGGCATAATTTTAGTTCATTAACTTGGCTCCTTTCTTAAATTTAATCTTTCTGTGTCTATGACTTTACCTTTAATTGGAAAAAAATACAAGTTACTTAAAACAATTCATCTGAGTGCCAGTAAAATGAAATCTTATTCTATAATTGCTTGTGAGATGATCTACACTAATCTAATTTATTGCGTGACTTATGAAAATTGAATAACAATGTGTGTCTCAATTGTAGGTTCTGTACTTTTAAAAGAAAAGAGAAGGCATCGGTTGCATAAGTTTCTATGTCTCAGAGTTGGAAAACCAATGAGGAAAACGTTTGTATCACAAGCAAGTGCCACAATGCAACAATATGCTCAGAGAGATAAGAAACATGAATACTGGTTTGCTGTGCCACAAGAAAGGTAAAAAAAAGTCAGAAAAACTTGAAAACTTCTTAAGGTCTTTGAATTAAAATTATTTCTTATATCACAGTACCACTGGCAAAGTACTCAGAAAGGAATAGTTTATAGTTGAAGTATAACATTGAAGCTATTTGAAATCATTTAGCTTCTGTTTTATACTCTTTAACTTCATTTAGGGTTACATATCCTTTTGTGATTTATTGCAAAAATTATGAACCAGACACTCAGAAGTGGTAAAGACACTTGAGTTTGTTAAACCAATACCATTCATCAGTATATTAACCAGTATGATTCCTCCCTAAAGGCAAGTAAAAATGTACAGTCCTTTACTTACTTATATTTTTCACATATTTATTGAATGCCTGCTATATACATGACACTACATTAACTACTAAAAATATATGATAGGAACCAGCCAGTGCTCTGGTGGTTAAGACAGCTAGATCTCACATGGCTGACTGCATTTCCATTCCCAGATCCAGCAGCATGAAAAACTTGCTGGACATGTGTGCATGCATGCCCCAAATTTAAAGTAGAGAGAGATGGATGAAAAGGGATTGCAACATGATCCCCCGTGGTGTGGTGGGTGCTTTCTCACTTTCTATCAATCTCTCTCTCTCCCCCTCTCCAACTAGTGCATGTGCCCTCTGGCAAAAACTTAAAGAAAAAAAAAGAATGTATAGCCTTAAAATTGTTTTGTGTACCTGCTGCATAATTGATGTTTTCATAATGAGGTTAAACAATTGTAGAGGATGTCTGCCATTACTATATTATAAATATTGAGATTTAAAATTGTAACTGTTAATTTGATCCATTAAAATCTAAATATCAAAACAGTTTGTCCTCTATCATTATCCACTTAAAAACTACTTGGATATGCTTTTCTTTAACAGTTAGAAATTATATATTTTTTACTCTTTGAACTTGTATTTCCATTATACCTCCTTACCAAATTTTATTATAAGACACTATATTTTTATCTCCTATTACAGTTCTTGGCAACTATTAATAAATCTACTACTGTCTTCAGAAGTTCATGGAAAATGATAAAAAATGATGCATGAATTTAAAAAATTTTTGCCCAAAAATAAACCTATACTTTAATTTCATTTTCCCATAAACTTTTTGAAATATCTTTGTACTTATACATTTAGCTAGCTGTATGTATGCATGTGTGTATACTGAAATTATATTTATTTAAAAATATTTAGGGACTATTAACAAAAAAGTGAAGGATCTAAGATTTTAACCTACTTGTAGGCTCATAAGTTATCCTGCTTTAGTTTGAGGCACAGTGGAAGAAAACCTGAGAGTCACAACAATAGCAATAATCAGAGAATAATATATGATTGAGCTCTTCATGCTTGCATTCCCACAAAGATTTGAAAACCAGGTGATGGCTGTACATGCCATGGCTTCTAATACAGAAGAAGAATCATGAATACAGGGAACGTAAATCTTTTTTAATGGACAATAGCATGGTTAACCATTTAATGCTTTCTCTACCTTCTTAGACCATGCTTTGCTGTTTCCTGTGTTAAGCTACTTGAATAGATACTGCTGAACAAAGGAATTCAGTGCCTCTTATCCAAATGATAATTGTCTATCAGCAACTATATGGTTTCAAGTATGTATTATATGCAGAGGAAAAATGTGTTTTTAATAATAAAAATTATTAGTATACAATTGGACAAAACAACATAATGAATTGTTATAATTAGTATTACATAAAAAGTAAAATTTCAAGAGAATTTGATATTTTAATGAGGTAGATGGACCTTTCTTCCCCCAATGAGTTTATGTATCCCTTGATGAATATTACTCACCGAAGGCATGAATAGGATTCAATACCAGTTCTGCCCTTTCCTTTTCACTTTTCTTATAAGTACAGAGGAACTTTATTTATATGAAAGTTGATGAGACTGAACAGAATTTTATTATGACACTTTATTTTAAGTATGTTTTTTATAGGTATTCCAGAAATTACATAGTCATCTTTTATCAAAAGTATTTTTAGTGATCATCAGTGAAAAACTCACTTAAACTCTCACTGAGGGCCCAGCCTGGGTGGCACAGTTCATGGAATGCTGGGGCGGCAGTGCGAGAGGCCACATGAGCAATCTTGTGTTCAGATCTCCAGGCTGGCCTGAAGACATGCCAGGCTAGTGCACAAGATCCTAAGGAACTGGAGTGCTGGGAAGGGAGGGTTGCAATGTGACAAGACCCTGTCAAACATGTTTTTCTCTCTCCTGTGCATATGTGCATGTGCATGTACTCTTTATCATTAAAAAAATCAAAACTCTTTACTTTTGTGGAAATCATTGAATTAGGACCCACCTGAGATGCAAAAGGATTTATATGCATTCTTTATTATTATTTCTTTTCTCAATACCAGTCTTAGTCAAACAGAAGTGTGTGTGTGTGTGTGTGTGTGTGTTTTTTTTTTTTCTTTTTTTGGAGAGGTTTTTGCTATAGGGTGCGTGCACTCACCAGACAGAGAGAGACAGAGAGACAGAAAGCAAGAAATCACCCCCCCAGGGGCAATGGCCACACCCAAGCCCTTCTCCTCCATCCTCCTCTCGGGATCTTGGGCATGCATGCACACGCGCCCAGCGTGAGTTTAAGCCACTGGGTCCAGGACTTGAACGGCAGTCAATTACACGGGAGTCCAGCGACGTAGCCATTACGCTAACTGCTGATCCCCAGAAGTTTTAATACTTTAAAACATGTACATTTATAAAATTTGAATGGGTTAGAGTATGTCCTCCTTTTATAATTTAGGGAAAAAAAATGCCTTAGTGAAATCAGAGAATAGGAAATCCGTAGGTTATCTTGACTGTGCTTTTCTTAGGGAGATTAGTATGAGCAAACACTAACATTTAGAAGTTGAAGATACAGAAATCTATTCCCTTGGAACTGTCTTAAGTGTCCGTGTACCTTTTTAATAAAAAGTCTTTATATGTTGCTTTGAAGACTACTGTTTATATAAATAAAATAAGTATCTTCTTACTCCTCCCTACCCCAATAAATAGACAGTACAATAAGTAGCTTCAATGAAATGTGATTAAAGTATATAGTATGATTTGCATAATTCAAAATACCTTAAAGGAATTCAGCTAATACTCAAATTTGTCAGTGATTTCAAAATGACTATAATGAAAAGCTTAACAATATTTAGTGAAAACTAAATAACATATTTACATATTTAGTTTTTATTACTCTTGAGTTTTTGTTTGTTTTTGTTTTTGTTTTCGTTTTTGTTTTCTTAGAGATTTTTGTTCTAGAGCTCATATGCTTGCCGGAGAAAGAGACAGAAAATGAGAAATCACCCCCCATATGCTTGCCGGAGAAATAGAGAGAGAGACAGAAAATGAGAAATCACCCCCTCCCCAGGAAGGATAGTCACACTGCAGCTCCTTCCCTGCCATTTTCCTTTCAGAATTTTGGGCATGCACGCATACGTGCCCATCGTGAGCTTTAAGCCCTCGGTTCCAGAACGCGAACCACAGTGAACTGGGTGGGAGTCCAGTGACATAACCACTACACCATCTGCTGGCCACACTTTTGGCTTTCTGAAATTTTTACATAGAACTTTTCATTTTAAAATCCTTCTACCTTGACTAATATTCAATAAAAATTAGTGGTAGTAGGATTTTGAACTTTCTTAAAGATATGTAACTTATGAAGATTGCTGTGGATAGTGATAGATTACATGAAAGATTTAACACACTTTTAATAGAATAACTTCCCATAAGGATAACTTCCACATGAAATGATTAAGTAATTTTTGGAATATTTATAAAAACATTTTAAAAACACATTTTTAGGGGACCAGCAGTTAGCGTAATGGCTATGTCACTTGACTCCCACATAGTCGACCGCGGTTCGCGTCCTGGACCGGGTGGCTTAAACTCACGCTGGGTGCGTGTGCATGCGTGCCCAAGATCCCGAGAGGAGAATGGAGGAGAAGGGATTGCGGCGTGGCCACCCCCCCCGGGGGGTGATTTCCTGCTTTCTGTCTCTCTGTCTCTCTCTCTCTGGCGAGCGCACACGCCCTATAGCAAAAACCTCTCAAAAAAAAAAAAAGAATTTTTAGTTGTACAGCTACCACATAAAACAAATTTTAAAAATTGCTAGATTGGGGTTGGCTCTATGGCGTGGTGATTAGGCTAGCCGGATCCTATATAGCAGACCATGTGGTCTGAGTTCTGGACCCTGAAGCTAGAGGAACACACCAGGCACATTCAGATGTACCCAAAATCCTGAAAAGAAGATGAGATGGAGGGGAAAAGATTGTGGTGTAACCATTCCCCATGGAAGGTGCTATTTCCTCTATCTCTAGCAAGCACAGGTACTCTCTAGCCAAAAATAAAAATGATTTGATTGGATATGTGATTTTTAGAACCATTATTACTGACTGATATATGTTAGTGGAGAGATTTAAATGAATTTTTGATTACTTATTCTAATTAAAGCCAGTAAGAGATATTTGACTCTCAAATATGTTTATCATGGAATACAAAAGCTTTCTTTACTATAGTAAAACATTAAAAAGGGAAACCAAAGATTTAAAAGATTATATTACATATCCATGAACCAGTAATTCAGTAACTCACTGCGTGTTCTGATTATCATTTAAAAATTAAAGACAGTTTCTATGTCCAGGCTCCAAAATAAGCAGCCATTTTTTTACTTATATTTTATAGGTCATTAAATCATTGTGTAAGTGAGGTCAAGGTTGTGTATTCATTTTTCTTTCCCATTACTAATGTCATTAAAGAGGAAATATATTGGGTTGTCAGAAAAGTCATGATGTATTTTTTCTACATAAAAATGCTTCATGATTTTTCTGACAACCCCACATTACTATATATACGGTATCTGAACTAGTCAAAAGCATACCAGGGAAAAAAAATAGTAGTTTCTCCAAATATTTCACAGAACATATCCAAATAAGTTTTTTAAGGTTAATATCTTCCCAGTAGTGGGCTTTGATTTTTTATATCAAGCTTAGTATATTTTGTGAATATTCAAGTCTTCAAATTTTATTAAGATAGTCTACAAATATAACTAATTCTATCTAACAGCACAGAATACTAGGTCTATTAATAGTCACTTGTTCAAACAGGACAGACCACTTGTATGCCTTCTTCATTCAGTGGAGTCCAGAAATATATGCAGAAGATACTGGCGAATATACCAGAGAACCAGGATTTATAGTAGTAAAAAAGATTGAGGAGTCTGAAACAAACGAAGATCCTACTAATCAAGCAGCAGCCAGAGAATGGGAGGTAAGGAGAGAAATAAACATTTCATTCATCTTTTTACTTTATCCGAAACCATAATTTTTTAATGGTTGGTTCAGATTCACCATCTGTGTATATGTATGATTAGTGAATGAATCTGAATGGTATCTTTGACTTGATACTATGGTCATTCTGATTTTGCTTTAAAGTACCAGAAAACAACCCATCAGTAATAAAATGACTTTTATTGAATATATTTTTGTATTCATTTACAAAAGAATAACATAATAGCAAAGATGAACATAATATTAATTGTTGTTATTAACTTTTACAGAACAGATATATTTAAGATCAGATTCATTTTCATTTTATTTCCTGCATGGAGAGTTATAGCAGTCATTTAACACATCCATGGAAATTAACACTTTTCTGTAAGTTCTAGACCCAAGCATTATCTTGACTTGAAGTTAGCGATAATAATGTTAAGGAAATAAGCTGATGCTAATTTTACAAAGTAAATTAGTAGAAATTTTATATGCTTAAACTTACTGAATTTGTTTAAGTAGCTAAATTAATACTAATAACCTTTTTGTAACCTTAGATAAATCTTTTCAGATGACATGCTTTGTCTTGTAGGGTTGTAGGGCGGCAATATCTGTTGTTGCCTAGATTAATCTCTTCTTGATGCATTAGAAAATACAGAGCAGATGCTAAAATGTGATAATAAATAGAACTAAGTTTTATTATCCATTTGGTGTTAATGTTTGTGGTTTATGTGATATTAATTTATTGTGCATGTACCTAACATGTATAATGGTTGTAGATATACATGACTTGTCTTTTGTTGAAAATACAATTTTGAATTGTCTAGTCTCATTTTTTGTAGTATATCTTCAGTTTCTATATAGACAACAAGAACTATTATATATTGAATATTTATTTTAGGTTCTTTCAATATTTCAACCAACATTATTTTTCACACTAGATTTTTCTTTCTTTTTTTTTTTTTTTAATTGCTATAGGGCATGTGTGCTCAACAGAGAGAGAGAGGCAGACATTAAAGAGAAAGGGAAAGTGAGAAATCATCCTGCAGGGAGAATGACCTTCCACAGAAATCTCTTCTCTTCCAGTCTCTTTTTGGGATTTTTGGGTGTGCATGCACACATACCTAGACTCTGGAGTTTTTCAAGCTCCTGGGTCTGAGATTTGAACAGTGTAGTGGGCTATGTGGGATCCAACCACTTCAAACACAATGCCACTGACTAGCCCAGTACTAGTTTAATTCATAATAACCTGTAACGAGAAATGATCTCCAGGCTCATCAGCAGGAGAATGAATGGATAATTTTCGAATATTCATAAAATTTTAAATAATATAGTACTAAAAAAGGAAGACCTATGGTACAGGCAACAACATGGATGAAATCTCATACATAGTATGTTAAATAAGAGAAGCCAGATGCAAAAGAGTATGTAGTGTATAATTCTGTTTTACATAAAGTTCAAAGGTGCAGATCTAGTCAAAAGTCCAGGGCTTTTGTTTTGTTTTGTTTTGCCTTAGAGCTTTTGTGCTCACCAGGGAGAGAGAGACACACACAGTGAGAGGCAAAGTGAGAAATCACCCCCCAGGAGGAATGGCGATGCTGCAATCCCTTCTCCTCTCGGAATCTTGGACATGCATGCACATGTGCCTGGAGTGAGTTTCAAGTTCCTGGGTCTAGGGCTCAACCAAGGTCAGCCATGTGGGAGTCCAGAGACGTACCCACTACGCCATCTGCTGTCTTTGCAGAGCTTTATATAAAAGTGTATTTATTGATATCATGAAAGAGTGAGAAAGAGGCACCCTCAGTAGGGTCTTCTCATGCGAAGAACCCTTTACCCCAGCCTTCCAGTTAGTCAGGATCTTGGGCGTGTCTTAGATGTTTTAGGTCAATTCAGGATCAAAGCTGATGGTCAGCTACGTGACTTTCCACACTGCAGATCTGAATGCATTTTGTCTGTGGCACTGATGCTGAGCTGTACTTTTTGATTAAATATTCAAAATTAGTGTCTCGGGTATGTCAGTAGCTTGTGTAACATATTGATGTTTTTCATTTGTTAAATCACTGACATTAGAAGAAAATTACTTTGTTTTACTTCCTTGTTCTTACCGTTGCCAAAGTATTAATAAAAAGATGTTCCATTCAATTTTTACTTTCTGAGATAACTTGTTCTTTTTTTTAGGTGTTTGACATTGCTTTTGTCTCAGTAAATCAGTCAGTCAAAGTTTAGGTTATTCATTAAACTGTAAATGTAAATATATTGGCTGTTTATTTTGTAATATGCCATTATTCAGAATATTTTAGAACCCGCCTCCTGGCTTAGTTTTTTAAAATCATTTATGCAGTCTGCCTATTTTGATTTTAATTTTTAGTGTTCTCCATTTGTAGTTATATAAAATATTTCAACTAATTTTAGCATTTTAGGCCATAGCATTTACCACAGTGTGTCATTATTGGATTTGTTTTTTCACTACTATATGTTGGTTGTCTAGTGGAGTCAGTTCTGTGTTTATAGCTGCCATCAAGTAAAGTTACTGCCATGGACATTCATTACATTTCCAGAGAAGCTACAACAGTCCTGTTACTATAACTTATAAGAAGCACCGTATCAGGAGGCTCCTATTGTATGATTAATATCTTATTTTCCAAGCTGTCTTGTAGTGATTATTCTGGTATTCTTTTTATTAAACACATTGTTTGTTGTTATTAAAGCACAAAATAAAAAAGCACAAATAATGGGACCAGCAGTTAGCGTAATGGCTATGTCGCTGGACTCCCATGTAGTTGATCGTGGGTCACGTCCGGGATGCGGTGGCTTAAACTCATGCCGGGCACGTGTGCATGCATGCCCAAGATCCCAAGAGGAGAATGGAGGAGAAGGGATTGCGGTGTGACCATCCCCTTTGGGGGGTGATTTCTCACTTTCTGTCTCTATGTCTCTCTCTGTCTGTCTGGCGAGCGCCCGCTCCCTATAGCGAAAACCTCTACAAAAAAAAAAAAACACAAATAATACCAAAATTAAAATTTTGTCAGTATGTGAAAAAAAAAAAGAACAACTTCCCAATCTCTTCTTAGCTTAGTCAACAAAATTCACATAGAAGTGATTTTTTTTTCCCTAGAAGTAAAAGGAAGTCCCTATATTTAAAGTCACAGTACACAGATAACAGTTGGCAGATGGAGGCAATGTTTTTAAAATATACTTTTTTTTAATACTGGTTGAATAATCAGATAGTATTATAAATCATAATTCCATAAAAAATTCAACAAATCCAAGAAAGATAGTAATCAGAAGGATTAATACATCTGAAAACTGCTGTATGTATTTCTGTATTGAATATCTGTATAAATTACGAGTGAAAGTTCTGGACTATTCAGCTGTTCTCTGTTATTGGCATTTGGCACCCAGGATTTTTGGCTAATATTGAGTATTTGACTACTGATAATGTTAACCCAAAGGTGTTATCTATTGAAAAATAGCTTAAAGATGTCATATACCAATATGTTACTTTCCCTGTGAACAGTGTTTCCTCAGTTACTTACCTAAAGTTATGAGCTGCAAGATTTTTATTAAAAATCCAAAATGGGATCCAACCCATGGCTTAGTGGTTAAGACAGCTATAGCCCAAATAGCTGACCATGCAATTCAAGTCCTGGACCTAGCGGCTTAAAAAACATGCTGGGCACATTTGTGTGTCAAAAATCCTAAAATGAGGGCAAAATAAAGGATTCCCCTGGGGGGCAATTTCTCACTATCCCTCTCCCTCTCTCTCTCTTGTCTCTGTCTCTGGCAAGCTTATAATCCCTGTAGCAAGAACTTAAAAAAAAAAGGGACCAGCAGTTAGCATAATGGCTATGTCTCTGGACTCCCACGTAGTCGACCGCGGTTCGCGTCCTGGACCCGGTGGCTTGAAACTCACACCGGGCACGTGTGCGTGCGTGCCCAAGATCCCGGGAGAAGAATGGAGGAGAAGGGATTACAGTGTGGCCATCCCCCCTGGGGGGGGTGATTTCTCGCCTTCTATCTCTCTGTCTCTCTCTGTCTTTCTGGCAAGTGTGCGCGCCCTATAGCAAAAACCTCTCCAAAAAGAAAAAAACCTTCTGAAATATTTAAATACTGAGTAGGGTACATTATATATTATGGCTTCTGGTAGACAGCTCCTGATTCTTATAGGAAATCAGATATAAAATAATTCCATAATTTCAATCCCAATAAAGTAATTAGGAGTAAAAGACTATGAAATTGCATACCTGAATTATGAGAATAGATTGAATCTGTAAGCTTAATGTTTTCAAAAACACTTGATTTTATATTCTATCACTTTACACAAATGATAAATTGACATCTATTTCAAGAGCTGTGAAGTTTAGGTAAATTTAAATGACTTACTAGTATTTCTGTAAATACAATGAAAAGGGCAAGAAGGAGACTTACTGAGCTCACTTTTGTGTTTGCCAGATACTGTGCTTATAAATTAGTGAACTGTAAGAAACAACTCTACACTCCCAATTGCTTAAATCTATTTTTTCCCCTCAAAGTGCAGTCCACAGACTTTCAGCCACAACAGCCATCTAGAAATCTGTTAAAAATGCCATTTCTCAGAGCTGGAAGGTGGCGCTGGACTCTTACATGGCCGACCACAGTTAGAGTCCTGGACCTGGTGGCTCGCTTTCTCACTTTCCGTCTCTCTCGGTCTCTCTTGCTCTGTCCCTTTCTGGTCAAATCAAAATAAATTAAATTAAATAATTGTTTTTTAAAAATGCAGTTTTTCAGATCCTATTTAGTCTGCTTGATCAGAAACTGCTTTTGGAGCCCAGCATTCTGTATTTTAACAAATACTCAGGTGGTTATGATGAAGGCTAAAATGTAAGAGCTACTGATTATTTATATCTGTTTAGATCCGTTCTGTCCAGGGATAATATTTCAGAATCTGACTGAAAGTCGTTAACAGGTTTTTATAAGGACTCCGTCTACCACCACCACCAAATTGTTGTAATGTGCAAGGGA